AAAGTTGTAGTATGAAATATCTTACTCTCACATAATATGTATTTCTTATTTACAAAATCCTTAAGTTTCTCCAAGTTATGGTTTTGGAACACTAAATCCAGTAAAGTTCACATGATAGACTGAACCCGAAGTGTTATTGCTATTGTTGTTGTTTGTGTGTGTGTGTGGTATGACTAGTCAAGTACATATCTACTATTTCATTGGATAATTGCATTGTGTCTTTCTTGACCGTGTATATGGGCAATATCTTGTAGCTGCTACAGAGAGCAAGATATTCCCTCATCCAAGTGCCATTTTCTGACTGGTCAGTTGCAAGGAAAATGGTATTGTGAATGCAGGTTTGGTGCTTTCAGAAAAGATTGATCTCTGGCCCTAGATGAGTGAAGACATACTATGGAAGTTTTGTCCTAGAACACAACATTCTTCAGTATCCTTCAGCAAATAAAAAGAGTTTTCATTTTATTTTCACTTCAGCACCATGCCCTGTTTTTTATTCCACCTGTCACAAAACGCTGTACATTTCGTTTTGTATATAAGACTTAAGAAACCTCTCATGTTTGAAGAAATGGGGTAACTGTATGCAGTTGTAACAAGTCTATCCAGTAGATACAATTTATCCCTGTAAAGATGTACATTATTAATTTATTATATTATTTCAGTAAAAGAGATGCTTATTTTGATTGGTTAACTAAATCATGGGTATTGCATACGAATTTAGTCGGTATAATGTTTAAATATCCTCTTTCCCTCACATACATTAACTCTTTCAACACAGGCTCACTCCGTCGGATCGACCTTGTAACCATTGTGTGCTTGTTATAGTTTTCATGTTATACCTTTTAAATTAGTAAGCGTATGTTAACGAAATTTGTCAGATTATCAATTAACATTACAATGCTTTCATCTGCAAAATATTAATTCTTGAGGTTTATTAAGCAAAATTTATCATACCTTTTTATTTTATTTTCACATGTTACCTATCCAACATACAAAGTAATTTTCATTTTAAGATTAAAAATCTTTATGCATCAGAAAATTTTCACATTTCACATGCAAAATCTTTATAATTTCCAGATAGTTATCAAACTTTTCTTAAGGAAAAACTTTATATTTCATCTGTTATTTTCACTTATAAAATGTTGGGAGGCCCTCTCATTCTTTCGAACCAAAATTTCAAGCAGGTAGGTTGTGTATTTAGTCTGCCCCAACATTCATATATTTTAGACCAAAATACAGCTTTGTTTGGAATTTCACACAAAAGAACACGAAATCTATCTGCACTAGCCATTCCTAATTTAACATTGTAATACTAGAGGTAAGGAAGCTTGTCACCACCACCCACTCTTGAGATACTCTTTTACCAACAAATAGCGGGATTGACTCTCACATTATAATGCTCCCATGGCTGAAAGGGCAAGCATATTTGGTGGGACGAGGATCCGAACCCGTGACCCTCAGATTGGGAGTTGAGCGTCCTAACCTCCTGGCCAAAATACAGCTTAGTTAATAAGCTTGATAAATTATAGTGAAAGTGTATGGTATCGATAAAGTAATTTATGATTTTTTGGTTATTCAACTGTATACATAAAACATAAAAAAACTATTTTATTTCATATCCCCCACGTGTGAAATTATAAAAGACTTAGAAACTTAAATCAAGCAGCAACTGAGTAGAAAAGTCGAAACTAGAAGAGATGATTGTTTGTTTCTATGTTTTAAGAAAATTAAGTTTATATAATGTATAATAATTGAAATGTTACATTATTTTACCAAATACTATTCTACTAAACACAGCCAAGACGGGGTCACTTTGTAAAGACAAAAGGT